GGGATAGAGAGTTAGAAACATCGATGAGAGAGAAACATTGATCAGCTGCCTCCTGCACACTCCCCACTGGGGATGTCCCCGCAACCAAGGTACATGACCTTGACTGGAATCGAAACTGGGACCCTTCAGTCTGCAGGCTGACGCTCCATCCACTGAGCCAAACCGGTCAGGGCACATCTTTCTTTTTTTAATTATTGTTTTATTTTTCAGTTAGAGTTGACATACATTATTATATTAGTTTCAGGTGAACTATCCCAGAGATTAGACATTGTATAAATTGCTAAGTGATCATCCGACAAATCTCACACCCATCTGACACCATACATACTTATTAGAATACTAGAGGCCTGATGCATGAAATTCAAGCAAGGGGCTCGGCCCTCACAGCCCCAGCTTCGTCCAGAAGGTCATTGGGAAGGTTGTCTGGAAGGATGTCCAGAAGGTCGTTCAGCTGTCCGGTTTAATTAGCATATTATGCTTTTATTATTATAGATTATTGATTGTCTTCCCTATGCTGTACCTTACATCCCCATTTCTATTATTTAACAATTGATTTGTACTTCTTCATCCCTTCACATTTTTCACCTATCCCCCTAACCCCTCTCCCATCTGGCAACCATCAAAATATTCTCTGTATCTATCAGTCTGCTTCTGTTGTATGTGTTCATTTGTTTTGTTTTTAGATTCAATTATTAATAGATATGTATGTGTTGTTCTTTTTAAAGAAGACTCTTTATATTTTATATAATACTGGTTTGGTAGTGATAAACTCCTTTAGCTTTTTCTTTTCTGGGAAGTTCTATATTTGTCCTTTGAATCTAAATGATAGCTTTGCTGGGTAGAGTAATCTTGGTAGGTCCTCACTTTTCATCACTTTGAATATTTCTTGCCAATTCCTTCTGGCCTGCAAAGTTTCTGTTGAGAAAACAGCTGACAGTCTTATGGGAGCTCCCTTGTAGGGCACTAACTTCTTTTCTCTTGCTGCTTTTAAGATTCTCTCTTTATCTTTAACCTTTGGCATTTTAATTATGATGTATCTTGGTGTGGGCCTCTTTGGGTTCCTCATGTTTGGGATTCTCTGCACTTCGTGGGCTTGTATATCTATTTCCCTAATCAGGCAGGAAAGTTTACTATCATTATTTTTTCAAATAGGTTTTCAATATTTTGCTCTCTCTCTCTTCTTTTAGCACCCCCATGATGCAAATATTGGTAACTCTCAAAATGTCCCAGAGAGTCCTTACACTATCATTTTTTTTTCTTTTTGCTGTTCCGATTGGGTGGGGATTTTTGCTTCCTTATTTTCCAGATCTCTGATTTGATTCTTGGCTTCATCTACTCTGCTGTTGACTCCCTATGAATTACTCTTCATTTCAGTTAGTGTATCCTTCATTTCTGACTGGTTATTTTTTTATACTGTTGAGGTTCTCACTAAGTTCACTGAGCATCCTTATAAGCAGTGTTTTGAACTCTGCATCTATCAGATTGCTTGTCTCCATTTTGTTTAGGGTTTTTTGTTTTTTTCTGACTTTTAGTTCCGTTCTTTCATTTGGGACATGTTTCTTTGTCTCCTTATGTTGGCAGCCTCCTATATTTGTTTCTATGTATTAGGTAGAGCTGCTACATCTCCCATTAGAGTGGCCTAATGTAGTAGGTGTTCCATAGGGTGCCAGTGGCACATCTTCCCCCATCACTTAAGCTGAGCTCTCAAGGTGCACCCCTTCCCCGCCACATTAGCACCCTCCTCTTGTAGTTGAGCCTTGATTGCTGTTTGGCGTGTCAATGGGAGGGATTTGCCCCCAGGCTTCAGCCACTTACCTCCAACCATGGTGGAAGATGAACTGCTCAGGGGCCTACCCCACAGAGCAGGACTAACTTCAGTGGGGCTCTGGTGTCAGTTGAGTCCACCCCTTGAGCGTGTCACTTGTGGAGGCAGTTGGGTGGTGAGGCTTCAACCTGGACTGAAGCTGTCCACTAAGTGCATTGGCTCTGGGGCCCCCTCGGAGGTGCAAACCCCAAGGTCACCTGCCACCTCTATTCTGCCAGGGGCCACCCAGCATGAACTACAAAGCCATCTGCAGATGGCTACTACTTGTGTTGGGTTTGGAGGTGCCCCGGTGAGTCCAAATATTATATCTTTAAATTGATTGCTGAAACAGTGAAATGTGAAAGTTGCTATTGATGTTGTCAAGCCATATTCTGCTTATAGTGTGTAATTGTGTCTTACTATAGGCATGTCATCATCGCTCTAATTCAGAGATAATCTGCTGTACAACGCCTTCACTACAACAGCTGAATCTGCAACTCCCCCTGAAAACTAAAGCCTTTTTCATGTTAGATGGGATTCATTCCAAATACTTCGATCTCATTTATGTACATAATCCTATCTTTAAACATTTTGAAAAGCCAGTGATGATCTCAATAGGCAATGGAAATATACTGGAAATTAAGGTAAGAATGCTTAAAATATCTTCTTAAATCATCAAGTAGCACCTAATTGACTTTGTAGCTGTGTGAATAGAATTATTGTATTTGGTTGATCAGTATCTTATCTAAGCTCTGAAAAATACATTTTTTTGGCTTAGGACTAAAAGGTAAGTATAATCATGAACTGCTTTGTAATGAAGCATTTAACAACTTTTTTGGTTGTATTAAAAAGTAGCAGATGTGGGACACAAATCCATTAAATAGGCTGCTGTGGTGCATTATCTTGTCAGTGTCCTGTATGTATTTTCCTGGGCACCGAAATGAGCTCATTATAAAATAAAAGTTACGCGCCATGAGAGTAAATGCACCAGTTGTAGTTCTGTACTTCCTTGAAATGCTTGCAATTTTGTGTCTGGGATTAGTCATCTCTAATGTGAATTATAAATGGCACTGGGTTTCCTCTACCTTAGGAATATATTAGCCTCTAACTATAATGTAATTGGAGAATAACAGATTATCTTTTCTACTCCAGCCTGTGGCAAACAAAGAACAGTAAAGCCCAGAGAGGTTAAGTGATTTGACAAGTGATGAAATAGTGACTAGAATACGGCACTCTCCTGTTGCTTCAATCATTTTTACTTCAAATAGGAATAAATAATGCAAAGCCAAACCAGTTATGGCAACATGTTGTTTTTAATATGCTTTTTAATACATATATATATTAATATGTTTTTATTAATTTTAGAGAGAGGAAGGGAGAGGGGAATTGAGCCCCCAACCTGGGCAGGACCAGGAATTGAACTAGTGACCTGGTGCATGGGAACATGCTCAACCAACTGAGCCACAGTGGCCAGGCTCAACATGTTTTTAAACAATCATAATGTTTTCCCTAAAAGATATCCTGAATGCAAATATGAATAAACACAAAGTAAGAGAATAGGATAGTCCTTGTTTAAGTATAATATAAGTTCTCTTCAATCATCATACATTTCTACTGAAATTTTTCTTCTTTTTTGACATGATTTTCTCTCCAGCTAAACCCATGCACATGTTCATACTCGTACAAGTTTACTAACCTCGCAGTTGTGTTTTGCACCATAATTAAGCCCAGAATGAAATTAAACAGAGGCCTGCTTCAGTGAGCGACATGTTTATCACAGTGACGCTCTTTCATCTGCTTCATTAATTAGTTTTATAAAGAGAGAAAAAGCTTTTATCTTTCACTTTTTCTCAATCATACTAATCTAGTGTGGCCTTTTGCTTTTCAACAATTACAACGTTTTCCATTTGAAAGATTCCATTTGGTTTTTCTTGACGAAAACGAGTTTATTTGCAAATATTTTTATGCCCAGATAAACTCTATTTTTCCATTCCTGTGTCTATGATGGAAGGATTAGAGATAAACGGTTCTTTATCTATTCGTCCAAGCACAGTCTTATATGGAGAAAATTTCTTTTTCTGTAAATTAAATACCCATTTTTCAATGTCTTACAAAATTGTTGGACCAAGAAAAATATGATTTGACATCCTCCTCAGCCTTTTAAAGCTATTCCCAACATGGCCCCAAGAGTCTGTGGAAATAGGCACAAAACACTTTCTTCTTTTGCTTATATACAGAATGTCTCTTTTTCTCTAACAAGTGTAGAGCACCTGTCATGTCGCAAAGTGGCAACCAGAGGAGAAGGGGCCAGTTTAGGTGTCATGATTGAGTCTTTTCCCATACTTCGTTTTCCTTACGTACAAGAGGAAATCTAAAGTATAAGAGAATATTTGTGTGACAGCAATTTAACCCTTTGTCAGTCTCTACAGTTGATCACATTAAAACCTCTGCCTCTCTTGGGACAGAAACAAAGGAAAGCAAAGCATTAGAAAAGAAAAGGCCTCTTCTGGACCAGCAGTGGACCGTTTGTATCAAAACAAAGGACAAATAAGCACATTTTACTTAATGGGCTTATTCAATTACCATTCAAAACATTGGTGTGGAGTATGTATCCCACCAGTGAAAGCACTATGGGAGAACCATGTGTATAGAGTGGGATTTCCTCCTTTTTATTGCCAGGAAGAGTTCATGCTCCTTTAGCGGCCGTGCATATAAGAATTCCTTGGCTACAAAGAAAGCGATTGTGATCGTTTCCAGCCCTAGTTATAAGAATTGCCTCCGTCAGCAGTTGGCCCAGTGACTACGCATGGTGAAGAGGGTTGGCCAAGTTTAGATCAGAGAATGTAATAGAGACCAAGGGTCAGTCACCCCTTAGAACAAATGAGAAACCCCATCGACGTGGGAGGTTTGTGAGCAAGGCCTCAGCCAGCCAGCCAGCACCAGTGCTGGACAATGGTCATCACCAGCAGACATCTCTTTGGGAGTCCACTTCAGGGCACAACGTTTATGTCGGAAGCAGATCACTTTTGTGTGTCACTGTAATTAATATGCGGTACTTCGACATACATTATTTCATCTGAGATTCATGTGCACCTGTACGTTTTGGGACGTCAGTGATGATTTTCCCCGTTTTCAGATAAGTAAACAGAGGTTTTAAAAGATGAAGTGATTTGTCTTGAGTCAACTAGGGCTCATAACTCAAGTTTCTTGATTCCAGAATTGGTTTTCTTTCCACTAAGTAACAATGCTTCTCATATTAACTTTTATTTGGTGTATACCAAAATATCTTTTATAACAGACTTTTGTCATATGGTTATACAGAAATCTATACAATTCTCTAAGTGAAGTAGCTCTGAACTCTTTACAAATAATTAAAAATCAAATTTTGTATCACTTTGTATATGAGCATATTTTATGGGACTAGAGAATTACAGTATTTAATGCTGGAACAAGGACTGCCTGACACTGCCCTGGGGGTTTGTCTTGTTTTGGAGCATATTGTATATATGGTTATAGGGATGCTTCAGAAGTCCAGTCTGAAGTCAGCTGAAATACGAAAAGAGAGGCAGGAACACCAGCCAAGACAGGGAGCAGGAACTTGACCTCTGACATTGTGAGCACAAGAACAAAGATGGGGGAGTCAGGAAGAAGACTGTGTCAGTGTTTGGGCATCAGAAGCATCTAGAAGGGGGCATATTTCTGAGCTGACACAGTCTATCAGCTGCCCAGAGCCAGCCAACGTTTGTCTTCTTCCCCCTTCCAATGATTTTTCCTGCAACTATAGGCCCAATCCCAGCCACAACCACTGTGAGGCCAGTTCTAGCTCCAGACAGGATGGTGGTGAAGTGTTCTTTTCTTAGATGTCATTTGTCCCCATAGCAAGATCTATTCTTGCTGATGGTACTCAGAAACTACTATTTCCATGTACTGTACATGTTAATATGCACAAAAATCGTGCACTGGGGGGGGGGCAGGGTTCCACAGCCCGGCCTGCACCCTCTCACAGTCTGGGACCCATTGGGGAATGTCCACCTGCCGGCTTAGGCCCAATCCCCCCTGGAAATCGGGCCTAAGCCAGCAGTCAGACAACCCTCTCACAGTCCAGGGCTCTTAAAGTCCAGGACCCCTTGCTCCTTACCACCCACCTGCAGCCGAGGCGGGAGAGGCTCCCGCCACCACCAGTACACTTGCCAGCTGTGAACCTGGCTTCTGGCTAAGTGGTGCTTTCCCTGTGGGAGTGCACTGGCTACCAGGGGGCAGCTCCTGTGTGAGGCCAGAGTGGGACACGAGAGGTTGGCCAGTCAGGGAGGGACTGCAGGCGGGCTCCAGGGTATGTCCAGCCATCTCACTGAGTCCCAATCAGCCAGACCCCAGCACCAAGCTAACCTACTGGTTGGAGCGTCTTCCCCCTGTGGTCAGTGCACATCACAGCCACTGGTCAACCAGTCGGCTGTCTGCCCCCTGGTGGTCAGCGCACATCATAGCGAGTGGTTGAGTTGCCTTAGCATATCATTAGCATATTACACTTTGATTGGTTGAACGGCCAATCGGACACTTAGCATATTAGCCTTTTATTATATAGGATGTGTCATGGAGACAGCACCTGTGAAGAAACCTGTTTAATTTTGGTTCACCAAGCTTATTTCAAATGACCTGGGAACTTTCTTCCCATATGCCTGTTAACATTATGCAGACTCAGTTTTGAAGTTTCCTATAAGGGTTCTTTGGCCTGATTCCTAAGATGAGGGACTCATAACCTCTAGATAAAATATAAATCTCGCCTTCCAGCCACCACCACCAACTCACTAGTTTTTTCTGCCCATCTCCCTGGACTGTTGCCTGGCTGAGTCCCGCTGCCACCCTGCCCCTCACTGCCTTAGCTAGCTTACTTTCCCAGACTCAGTTTTGTGGCCACCATGATGTATAAGAACCTGTAAGACCCCTTCTGTTATAATGCTATTTTTCAAATTCTACCCAGTCCCACTCCCATCTGCTCTATTCTGTAAACAGTTTAGACATGGGTCCCGGGCCTGAATCCTAGATGGAAATATGTCACACCTGACCGGAGTTGGAGAGAAAAGGGAACAAGGAACATCCTATACTACATATTGGGAGTAATTAGTTTTCACTTTAGAAAGGCATTCATTTTAACATCACAGTGAGAGGAAGACACTCTTATCTTTATATTCTCAGTGAAAAGAATGTGCCTGACACACAGTAGATGGTAAGGAGATACTGTATCGAATGGAATTTTATTTGCTTCATGACTAAGCCCTTTCTTGAACCTTATTTCTCAAAGTGTAAAGCAAGAATGACAATAACAGCTACCTCAGGAAGATGTCTTTACAAGATAAAATGAGATCATTATACTTCTAAATTGCTATGTGTGTGTAGGGGATTAAAGACCAGAGAGTTTCTTCTATATTGCTTTATTTAAAACTCATATACTGCCATTTCAGTGACTGAAAAACTGAACCAGTTTTGTAAGTGTCTTCTTCTATTTAATAATACTTAATATTAAATAATGAAAAAGTAAATGAGAAAGCTTCTAAAAATATACCTTTTTCCCACAGCTCCATAAAGCTATGTTTATTTTAAACAATGAAAAGTAGCCTATAGCTATTCCTATTTTTTCTGACGCAGGCCCCTCTGTTACAGGGTAGTGGGCTGCCAGTATCACTCTGGTGATATCTTGGGTTGTAGACTTCCAAGGTAATTACTGAACATACAAAGCTAATAACTTCTTATGTAAGTCACTGCTTATCATGTGTTCCGTGGCAGGCACGGATGAAAAGGCACAGTTGTGTGGCTGTGTGATCTGTTTTTGTTTTAGAGAAGCCTTTATGCAACATCCAAGGAGGTCCTGAGCCTAAAGGGAGTGCTGGAAATGTAAATGCAGTGTGTTCCTCCCTTCCCCCAGCTGTGGGTATTCTCTAAGCAAGCAAGACACATTTTAGTCATTCTGTCATAAATCAAGTCCTCCACCTCTTTCATCTTTGTTCTTCATCATTCCCTGAGTCCTCCAATGTGCCTTAGCCCTCCTCAGCCTAACCAACAAGTTGTCATTTGAAGCCCCAAAGTGACTTATTAGATTTATGTGTTTCTATGTTGAATTGCCCCTCGTGGCTGGCCTGGTTCAATGGAGTGTGTAGTGCCCCTAGAAATAGTATAAAGGTAGAGTTTGTTTGTCTCTCTTTTTTCTTAAACTCCAGATTCATGTTAGAAAGAAGTATTTTCTTGCAAACTTCTTTTCCCAAAGTAATATCTCACTTACCAGTCTGTGAAGATCCACATGAGACAATGTAGCAGTTTGCTGGGCATTAAAGGTCATGAGAAGCAGAGCAGCTATTACTGGCTGCTCTTTGTTCCTCAGAAAAGAAGTAACGTGTTTTGATATATTTTTCTTCCAAGAATGGCTTTTTAATAAATAACTGTACTCATTAATAGTTGAGGAGAGATCGCCCCTCTGTTTTCACTTCTTTCCTGTGCTAATGGTTGGTTCCTTCAACAAAACATTAGCATCTTATAAATGCCTGATGGTAACTTCAGTTAGCTAAATATGTCAAACTGAATGATTTTTTTTAAATCCTCATGTAAGTATATAATTAATTGTTCAAAGTAATGTAGCCATGCTCTCAACTCATAAGGAGGGTCACATGACATCTTACAGGAATTCCTTTAAAAATAAATTCACTTCTGTATCGGGTTTAGCTGTGCGAGAAGGATGAAAAGAAACTGCCCAACTCAAGGACGACAGGAATAAATTAACAGATGAGTTAAATCAGAGTCCCTCGATGCACCAGTATTTTATAAAATGCTCCTTGTGATTCTAAAAGTGAAGCCAGAGTTGAGCTTCCCTGCAGTAGGCAGCACAACAGCTAAGTCTCTGCCTTGCTTTTCTTTTCCAGCCATCAATACCCCCTGGAAGCATGAATGGGGTGATTATGGCTAAGAGGTCATTAGATGTAAGGATGTGAAACAAAATTCTCTTTCCTTTTCCCTAACATCCAATTCGATGGAAAGCTACATGCTGTGATTCCTAAACAATTAGTGCCCTGAAAAGATCATGCTTTCTTTCAGCCACCCAAGTTCCCATGAGACGAGTATCATAAACCGAGTTTCATGTGCCTTGGCAAACAGCACGGCCTGTGTTTGCAGTATATTTATGTTCCTTCACAATTGTTAGTATTTCCTGCAAAACTGTGAAGTGTTAACAGCCTCTTTTCTTTCTTGCAGGGCAATGACATTGACCCCGAAGCAGTTAGAGGTGAAGTGTTAAAAGTTGGAAATAAGAGCTGTGAGACTATCTACTTAAATTCTGAAGCTGTTTTATGTACGGTCCCCAACGACCTGCTGAAATTGAACAGCGAGCTAAATATAGAGGTGGGATTCCTGCATTCCTCTCATGATGTAAATAAGGATGCTGGTGTAATTATGTCACTCGCAAGCTTAAAATAAATCATTAAACTCATCGGTGTGTTAGCTTTGGCTCATCAGCTCAGCCTTGATTCTTGGTTGTTATTTTAGAAATAGTAAGGTTTTGTTGCACTGTCTCCTTCCCAAGCGAGAGGGGGGAGATCTCAGAAGTCCTTCCCAGCCACACTGCCTCTGCGTCATGCCAGACTCTTGCCACAATCTGGTCTAGAGATGAATAAGGACATATCTAAGATTTCCCCTGCCCCTACCTCTGACCACCCTAGGCGGCCAGATCCAACATACTATTGCCTTCCACGGTGATAGCAAATGCATGGGCCTCATAAGCAAAAGAATATGTATGTATGCACTGCACAAAATAAAATAGAAATCAAACTATTTTTACAGTAACTTCTTCATGTAAACAGCTAAATTAATAACCTGGAATCAGAGTGAATGATTTTTTTTTTGCATTTTTTTTTTCTTGAAGAGCTTTATTGAGATTAACTCGCATACCATACAGTTCACACATTTAAACTGGTTTGGGGTATATTACATTATTAATATTTTAAACTTGTAGTAAAATATATATATAACAATTTTTGCCATTTTAATCATTTTTAGTGCACAATTTAGTGGCATTAATTACATTCATAAAATTGTCCATGTAGCCACACCACTAGCTAATTCTAAAACGTCTTTTATCACCCCAAACATAACGCTGGAACCAGTAAGCAATATGTCACATCCCCTCCTCTTCCCCAGCCCATGGTAACCTCTAACCTACTTTCTGTCTTTACAAATTTGCCTGTTCTAGATATTTCATACAAGTAAAATCATACACCATTTGTCCTTTTGTGTCTGGCTTATTTTAAATATATTTTTATTGATTTCAGAGAGGAAGATAGGAGCGAGAGAAACAGAAACATCAATGATGAGAGAGAATCATTGATTGGCTGCCTCCTGCATACCCCCTACTGGGGATCAAGGCCGTAACCTGGGCATATGCCCTTGACCAGAGCCTGGGACCCTTCAGTCTGCAGGTCAATGCTCTATCCACTGATCCAAACCGGCTAGGGCTCTGGCTTATTTTATTAGCATGTTTTCAAAGTTTATCCATGGCATAGCATGTGCCAGAACTTCATTACTTTTTAAGGCTGAATATTCCATTGTATAGATATACCACATTTTCTTTATCCAAGAATGAGCGCTTTGTAAAGGGTTCCTGAAATCTTCTAAAAAGTTATGAAATGGAAAACTACAAAAAAATTAGAAAGTTAAGGCTGAATTATGAGATCAGAGTTTAGAATTTAGAAGGACCATAAATCCTGAAAATTATATGATGTTAGAGCTGGAAGGGACCTCAAAGATTTCCTCTATGTATCAAAACTGATATTGAGATATTTTAAGGCTTTATTGTCCCATAATATAATGATTATTTACTTCTTATGGTAAGTGTCCTTTGCCCTCTTCCCCCACCCTGTAGGACAGAATTAATATCCTGTTGTCTCTGTTTTTCACTATTTATTTATACATATGTGGGATGTATCATATTGTATTATAATTATCTGTTTATGTGTTTATCTCCCTTTTATATCTCAGTTCCTCGAGATCAAAGATTGTTTGTATTTATTTTTTATCCCTAATACCTAGTTACGAGTACAAACAGCTAAATATCATATAAGTCATTCAGAGATCATTAGCCCCTCCCTATTAAAACACTGAAGCAGAATTGAGGAATGTCTTATCACTCTGAAGACAATTATGCCACTTAGGGAACAGCAGTAACCAGGTGGTATCTGGGGCCCACAGAGACTGCGCTTCCACCTGTGCGGTCTATTTTATAGCTATCTGAAATAGCCAGCTAAATTCTGGCTCTCCTTTCTCATTTTCAGTGGAAGCAAGCAGTTTCTTCAACTGTCCTTGGAAAAGTGATCGTTCAACCAGATCAGAATTTCACAGGATTGATTGTTGGTGGCGTCACAATATCAACAATCCTCATACTATTACTTGGGCTTTTCCTGTGGCTGAAAAGGAGGAAGCACAGTAAAGGTACATTTTTTTAATTGTTTATTTTAGGGAATTACTTTAAGAATGCAATCGTCACAGTTTAAAGTTGTAAGTTCATGTGTGCTGTTGTATCTGCCGTCCATAAAACCTATGAATTCTTGTCCGTCAGTCAGTCGAGGCCTGCTGTGACACCTGGTAGCCAAGTCTTTAAGGAGCTCTTTCTCTTCTCTCCATTTTAAGATCCGGGCAGTGATTTAGTTCGCTATGATGCAAGAGTACACACGCCTCATTTGGACAGGCTTGTAAGTGCCCGAAGTGTGAGCCCGACTACAGAAATGGTTTCCCATGAATCTGTAGACTACCGAGCTACTTTTCCGGAAGGTACGTTCCAGTTTATCGTTCTGAGAAATACCTCAACATACACCTCAGCGGCTTTGTTCTTTATTTTGAGGTTTGCCCTTATGTTTTTATAAAAATATAAAAGAAGTATTTCTTTCTCTTTTTTTGGCCAAGAAATTATTTAATTTGACGTAGAATTACTGGGCTCTTATTTTTAAATGTACTCATGTATACATTAGGTTAGATTTTCAGTCTTTAAGCTCTCTTCTCACAAAAAGGTTAATTTTTATATTTCAAGTACAAGTTCACATTCAATATTATGTCAGTTTTAGGTGCAGAGCATAGTGGTCAGATAATTCTATACCTTCTGAAGGGATCCTCCCAATAAGTCTAATACTCACCTGACACCGTATCGTTATTACAATATCACTGACTATATTCCCTGTGACTGTATTTTGCGTCCCCATGACTGTTTTCATAACTTCCAACTTGTACTTCTTAATCTGCAAGATTAATTTTAAAATCATTTGAGTAAAGGTAAGGTGTTTGTTATCTCACTGCAACATTAAGAAATTGTGAAGTGCTCTTTAACAACCCAGGAAAAGATAAAATATAAAGTTTATATTTATTTATTTTTATTTAAATATAATTTGGCACTGCTATATTTTTTGACCTCAAAATGTTGATCCTCAAACATTTAAATTACAACTTTAGTACTCCTCTGAAGGATTCTCAGTGAACTGTTAGTACACAGCCTTTTCCCCACAACACTCCAGGACTTCAATATATTTTTTAGTCTTATCCATTAAAAACCTTCATGCATGCGATTTAAACAGGAGGGGCTTAGCATCATTGGCTTTGCAAAACACTAAGCCTAATATTGGTTAGGCTAACCAGCACATTTCACAATGTTTTATTTAAAATCTCCTGGTAAAAAGCAAAATGTCTGTATTGTATCTGCTCCATTATCTTTAGAAGTTACAGGACATGAGTCAAAGACAAGGATTTCCCTGGTTGAATATTTACCACTGGACAAATAAAATGAGTCACAGACAGTTGTGGATACAGGAAAACTTAGAAGTTGTTCCTCCAAACAAGTACAACAGCAATAAGGCAGTTAACATTTTAACTTTAAACCTTACTCTCTCTTATATTTTGAAGTTTATATTAATTCTATAGAGATACACATGAATATTGCCTCTGTCCACCTGATCCCATTTGCCTTTTTAAAAAATCCATGAGCTGCCCTGGCCAGTGTGGCTCAGTTGGTTGGGCATCATCCCATGTACCTGGTGGTTGCTGGTTCAATTCCCAGTCAGGGCACGTGCAGGAGGCAGTCATTCCATGGTACACTCTCACATCAATGTTTCTCTCTCTACCTCCTCTCCCTTCCTTTCTCTCTAAAAATAAATTTTAAAATCTTTTTTTTATAAATGCGTGGCCTTAACAACATGGACAAATCAAATCCAGTTTATAGTTTTGAAATTTAGACCTATTATTGTCTTACCAGTGACCCAGTGCACAGATTCATGCACTTTGAAAGGAAATTACCGGTAATTAGAAGAAAGATTCGTGCAGTAATTATGTTACTACAAAAAATTACATGTCAAAATAATATATGTAATATAGTTTTATAAAATTAAAATACAAAATATTTTAATATGTATCACGCATGCACAAGTCAACGTTTATTTTTAAATTGCCAATGTGCATCATATGTATCGGCCGGTCGGTCAGACGGACAGATGGATGGACGGTTGGTCACTTAACCTTTTATATATATAGATAGTTTTATAAAATTAAAATACAAAATATTTTAATATGTATTGCGTATGCACGAGTCAACATTTATATATAATAAAAAGCCTTGTTTGAGGTTTACTTTTCATATACTATATTTTTAAACATGGGAAGCTGCACAAGTAGTCTACCTTGAGAAATGTCTAAGGAAATGAGAATAAACAAGATGTCAAAGTTAATGCTTAATCTATCTAAAGAAAATTTATTAAAAACTTTATTTGTATGCCAGTATCTTTTCCCAGCTTACCATTTTTATTAAACTAGTTCCTTTGTAAAGATTCTTCCTAGCCTCACTCAATGATAAAAGCATCATTTCTTTAATTTTAAAATTCAGGATTCATTATTAATTCAATTTGCTGCCCCTGTTAGAGTCCCCACAAGTGAGGTTCTGCTATTGTTTTCTAATAATCCTTCTTTATCTGGCAGATCACTATCCTAACTCATCTCAGAACGGATCCTGCAGACAAGTGCAATATCCGCTGATGGACCTGTCCCCCATCCTCACTGGTGGGGACTCTGATATGTCCAGTCCGTTACTGCAAGATGCTGTCCACATTGACCTCAGTGCTCTAAATCCAGACCTGGTCCAGGCAGTCCAGCACGTAGTGATCGGGCCCAGCAACCTGATTGTGCATTTCAATGAAGTCATAGGAAGGGGTAAGTATTTCCACTCAGCTTTTTGTTGGACACGGTTTTCCAGTAAGCATTTTATCTTCTGCCTTTGCAGATTAGGAATTTAGACAATGGGGAAAGCAACTGACAGAGCGGTGATAACGAGTGCACTTGATTTCTGTCCTGCAGAAAAACAGGTCTGCAAGTAATATCCGTGGGGACTTGCCCCTGTTTCTGGAGGCCTTTTAATAATCTCCCGGACCTACTAGAAAATAAATCATATTCCTTCCTCACCTTTTTCACAGTTAAACTATAATTTCTTAAAAGATACCATTTACTTCCTTCTAAAACATCCTTCTTTTACGTTCCAATATTTTTCACTCGTCTCCCTCCAGTCTTCCTTTGCTCTGAGAACAGGGACTATATGAAGTCCTTGTTTTAAGAGTTACACTTCTCACAGCATGAGAAGATGGGGAACGCATAGCATTCTCCTGACCTGAAACATTATATGTCATATCTACAATGCACTCCAACTTCTTTATACAAAAAAGAATATTTGTAGTAAGCCAGACAGAGCAGCAGTAACAGCTAGCACACAGTGTGAAGGAAATATTTATCAGGGAGAGGAGCCACGCAGAGGCCAGGAAATGAACTCCACGCTTCCCTTTTTTCTAAAAAGCTTTTACCTTTGGCACTGAGTGGTCTCTGGCCCCCTTTCTTCAGTATGTGCTGCAGGAGGTGGCACAGGCACGGGCACAAGCTGCCAGGACCATTTGCCTCGTAGGAGCACGGGGCCTGCCCAATCTCCCGTGATGGCACCCATACATTCCTCTATCACACACTCCAGGTTTTTTCCTGCTCCCCCTTCCTAATAGTAGCTTCGCTGTTAATAAACATGTTTCACATCAGAGTAATTTAGAGTGCTGTCACCAGCCTATAAATTCCAGTAATTGCGCCAGTTTGAGCATGTAGCCTCACTAATTATGTTCTGATTCTATGCATTATGAAATTAGATTTTTTTACTTTTATCATGAAAGGTGCTAAATGGCAATTATTGCTTTTATGTAGTAATAATCATTAATGATTCTATATATATTAACTATTATTGATACGTGCTTCCTTGGTAGAATATGAGTTCTTGAGATCATAGGTTTTATTTTTATTTTTTTTAATCTTTGCACCATAAGAAGGTAGACCAATGCCTGACACTCACATATGAGGCATTCAGGGAGTCTTGTCTGGCTACGTAAATTAATTAATGGATGACTTACACAGCTATCAGCCATTTGGCACCTCTGCGGAAAATTACTGCCACTGGATGAAAGGCTACTGTTGGGAAGGTGATGTGGCTGAAGCCAGAGAGAACTGGATGAAGTGACTCAGAGTGAATTTGCTTCACTTGAGTAATTTCCTTTCAGTTTCAGCCAACCTGGGTTACATATTAACGGGTGACTAATGGGGGAAATCCTTATTGTATAATGCTTATTGCTAATGGTAACATTTTTACTTCATTTCAGTTTATTGGAATATAGGGAGCTTCTTTTATTTTATTTCTTCATGTAGGCAAAACTTTATTTTCATATTTAAAAGATGATATTTGATCATTAAAAATAATTTTAAAAATTATTTTTAAATAATACAGTTTTTCTTTTTTTAATATATTTTTTTATTGATTAAGATATTACATATGTGTCCTTGTCCCCAGGTTACCCTCTACCCCCCCCCCACTCATGCCCTCACCCCCTCCCCATTGTCCGCCATTGGTTAGGCTTATATGAATGCATACAAGTCCTTTGGTTGATCTCTTCCCCTTACCCCCACCCTCCCCTACCTTCCCTCTGAGGTTTGATGGTCTGATTGATGCTTCTCTGTCTCTCGATTTGTT